AAAACCTAGACAGATATACTATATGAAACACTGTGAATGTCAATGACCTACTTAAAAGCTGCATGTTTTTTACTGAATGTTAATTTACGTGATTATAAATGCATAATAAATGCGATGTTGTTATGAGCTCTTTTGTACACGACGCGTGTTAAACACGTGTTTACACGAAACCTTGAGCACAGAGCCACCTGGCTTAGTAAATAATTATGTAAGTTACAAGCCACGAAGTTTTACTTAAAGCGATTTTTAGACGTATCGTTGATTTATTTGAAAAGGCTGCTTTTCTACTGGTAAAGTTTTATATGCGCTTAGTGGGGATTATGTCTTACTCTAGGCATATATTTGCCCATTGCTGTGCATTAACAAAGTCAACATACAAGATAATTAAAAAGTTGAGAATTTAAAAGCTAGAAATAGGGATCACAAAAAAAGTAAGCAAAAGATGCTGGAGATCTAAATGCCAACAGTTTGCTCAAGTTACAAATCACTACTATGACTCCACTATAAAATTATTGCAACTTGTATCCACTGTAGTATGGGATCGCACAGGAATTTTGCAAAAAACTAAGAGAGTGCTTTTAAACTTAATTCGATCTTAATTTTGTCATGAGAAAATAATGTAGGAGAATAAGGACAGAAATAAATAAATCAAGCAAAGAACGGACTTAGAATAAGAATGGAATTAAAGAAATCAAGAAAAGAACGGACTCAGAATAAGGACAGAAATAAACAAATAAAGAAAAGGGTGAATTCAAAATAAGAACAGAAATAAACAATTCAAGAAAATAACAAGCTCAAAATAAGGACAGAATTAAACAAATCAAGATAAGAACAGGCTCAAAATAAGAAAAAATAACCACGCAAAGAAAAAAACGAATTTTCTCAAGCTATATAAATCCCTATTTTGACTCCATGTCTGTAGTACTTATCAATTTTAGTGGAGTCAAAATAGGGATTTGTAGTTTGAGAAACTAACGTAGACATTATTTCCAGCCTTGTTTGTTTGCGTTTTTAGAGTGCCTAGTTGTAGGCTTGAAAATATAACTTTCGCATTTTGATTCAACTTGTTTCTCTGCTTTTTTGACGATCCCTATTCCACCTATTTAAATTTACAATTTTTAATTATCTTTTCTGTATATGAATGCGTTTCGTGACGAGGGATTAGTGTGACAATACTAATATGCTTTTGTTGTTATTTTTATGAAAATTAATCATTTAAAATTACAACATGGAGTTTTTCTTGTTATTAACACTGATATCACTTGTTAAAATCTACACTTTTTGTTTGTACTTTTATTTGTACTCTTATTGGAATATGCTAAGTTTTATATTCTTAGCTAAAAGATGTTAATGTGTGATTTCAACATTAACATCTCATGTAATCTCACATTCCATACGGATGGATGCAAGTGTTCAAAAAATTATAAAATATACATGTACACGAATGATGTGATTTACACCTTTCTTACTATGCGCATCTCACCCCTAGAACATCATACCCTATAGGTTTGATGTTACGCCTAAAGTAAATAACGGAGTGTAATGGATTTCGAATATATTCTATTGACGGAAAAATACGGAACTTACATATGAAAAAATTATATATTTAATTTAAGCTTTTGGGTGAGCACTTGGAGTTAGATCCAGAAAAGTCTTAACAGGAACACAGATTTTTATTTTATTTTATTTCGAATGATTGGGGCCACTGTGTTGAATAGTTGATACTTTGTTTTAGTTTTTTCTCAGGTTTTGAAAGTGCGCCGAACTTACTTCTTAACACAGATAGCCCATTGTGTAGCTTTACGCCTAACAATAAAACAAACTTATTCCATTTCAGAAGTATTTCACAACTGGTTTCAGTCTTTTTATTTTCCTTTATACATTCCGATTTTATTTGTTAAAGGACTAAGTCTTAGTTCTGTTTTTTATTTTACTTCTGTTTAGTGGTTTTAGTTCCTATATTTGGCTCCCCTCCCAATGACTCGGCGATAAGCTTGCGGTTATATAATGCTAAAAATAGGGGTTCGATACTCTCATTGGTCATAGTACAGATAGCCCATTGTGTAACTTTGCGCTTCAGAACAAGCAAACAAACCATTGTTATGTCGTGTTGTTATAACCAGTATTTGTTGTCTACCTTTAACTTGTTTTTATTTACAAGGTTTTATCATCTAAATATGCTATCAAAAGCTGACCAGTTCCTAATGCAGCTGATTATAATTTAATAAATCATTTGATTTACACTTTTTGTTTTCGCTTTTGAGGTTACTTATATATAACTTCCCCGCCGTTTTATTAGTAATGTTGTATCAACGAAAAGTTAATTATTTTCAATAAGATCTTTAGAAATCCTTTCATCGGTTGTCTTTTATGCTTAAAACGTGACTGGTTTACAATGTACTTCTGAACTGTTTTCACGATTTGTTGATTTGTTATCCAAAACCAGTTTCCTTTATTATTGCTATTGTAATTTTTGTCTGATATTAAAACATAACTGTCAAAACGTTCGAGAGAAATGCCTTATTTGAACAAGTAAAACATTGGGCGTTTCAAGATCTTAACATCATAGTCTATGCTACTTTTTTACGCTGTAGTCAAGTTGTGGCATTAATGGACTTCTGTGTGTCTCTAGAGTGACACAACGTTTCGGCTTCAGCACTGAAGTCTCAGTATAAAAGGTAAATGTCGTCCCAGTTTAAAAACAAACAGGAGCATTCCATCGATAGATTGTTTAGGCAGAGTATTCATGTTGAAACTTTGTTGAATGGACAGCAATTGCCTTTTGTGGAAACACAAGTGTAGAGGAAGACTTTCGAAACGTTTCATCAGGAGGAATACTCCCGATGAAACGTTTCGAAAGTCTTCCTCTACACTTGTGTTTCCACAACAGCCAGTTTTAATGGAATACTCCCGATGAAACGTTTCGAAAGTCTTCCTCTACACTTGTGTTTCCACAACAGGCAGTTTTAATGGAATACTCCTGATGAAACGTTTCGAAAGTCTTCCTCTACACTTGTGTTTCCACAACAGGCAGTTTTAATGGAATACTTTCTCTACACTTGTGTTTCCACAACAGGCAGTTTTAATGGAATACTTCCCAAGAAACGTTTCGAAAGTCTTCCTCTACACTTGTGTTTCCACAACAGCCAGTTTTAATGGAATACTTCTGATGAAACGTTTCGAAAGCTTCCTCTACACTTGTGTTTCCACAACAGGCAGTTTTAATGGAATACTTCCCAAGAAACGTTTCGAAAGTCATTAAAGTTACAACTGTACAATGTATACACTTTCTAAAATATCCTTGAGAAACATCTTTTTACGTTTAATTTGTCGTTTGTCCATCAAAGTATTATCAATCTTTGAGACATACAATGAGTTAGGTGCGTTAAGTGTTCGTTTTTTTTTTAACTATTGGTTAAAACCGACTTCGCATAATCCCAACTTTACTATATAATTAGAAAGACTTGGAGGGCGTCGGTTCTGGTTGTATGTGTGAAATCGAGCCTTCCCTCCCACAGCACGTTAAGGAACGGAAGATCAAGGCGATGCTATGAAAGAACCTCTTTCTTCCCCGCAGAGCACGTTGATTGTGGGGTACGATGGTGACCTTCATATTTCATTATCTGTTCCGTCGTATGATTGGTTCTTAGACCCTTCTTACTGGTCCATAATTCTCTCTGGCTCCTCTAATTCTGCCGCCATGCGTGCGAACAATGTTATTACACGGCCTTAAGCGTGGCGTGTCCAAATGCGGGTCGGTTGACGGACTTTGTAATAAAGCCAATTACTCGAGTTCGTAAATACTACTCATTTGTTATTAAGTCGGTGGAGTTCAAGAAAGGTCTCACCTTTTAACACATCTTTCAAAGAATTTTTTTACTCTTCTTAGGAGCACCAAAACTCAAAAGAGAAATATGACTTGAATTATTAAAATAACTGCTTTAAAAAATTAGTAGTATGGTATGAACTGCAGAAAAAGTCATATGGGCAGTGAATAAGTTTCTTGTGGAATTTTAGCTAGGCAGTGCATAAGTTTCTTGTGGAATTTTAGGTGAGCAGTGCACAAGTTTCTTGTGGGATTTTAGCTAGGCAGTGCACAAGTTTCTTGTGGAATTTTAAATGGGCAGTCCATAAGTTTCTTGTGGAATTTTAGGTGGGCAGTGCATATTAACATTCATTTTCGTGTGTATAGATAGTTAGCATACTCTTTGTTTTCATCTTTAAGCAGATTTACATATCATGAGAACATACAATATATTCAAATGTCAAAACTTAAATTGAAAGATGGTGATAAATATAGGCTCCAAATGAATAAAAAAATCTAGGTATAACTTTATATGCAGCTAAGGGGATAAGAATAACATCAGCAAAACAAATTAGAAAAAAATATAATTTGATCCTTTTATTTGTTACTAGGTTTTTTTTTAAATTATATAAATAAAAATTATTCAGTTTTAGTCCATGCCTTGCATCAAAATTGACCGTGCTTTTAATTATCTTATTTGTTTAGTAATGGCATTCAGTCTTTGTGCTTGATCTTTTCTAGTACATTGTAACCTGTTGAGCACTGGAAAATTGGTTTTATGCTTTCTACATTGATTTAAGGCCACAAAATTATATCAGTATTGATCCTACCTGTATTTCTGAAAACATCTTTCAAAAACTATTTATACATCAAATTGCTTGTGGGTCTGTGATTTTCTTGGTTAGAAGGTCTCTAATAACAGTATCATCCAGACAGAAAAAATGTAAACAATATTGGAAATTATACCACTAATTATTGCTGGGGTCCCATATCTATTTCACATAAACTTTGAGTGATTTTGCTCAATTTTTTTGGTGAGTTCTTAATATTGATTGTTGTAATGGGTAAAAATCTAAAATTACTCAATATGATGTGATATATTGATTCCCACCAAAAAGAACTGTATGAAAACAAGTCATTAATTTGGGGACTATTTGTATTCAAACTTCAATTCCACTTCTTGTCTTGTTTCCAGATTGCTAAAAGATTGCAAGATAAAGTTGAAAAATACCTTAATGTCTTGGAGAAAAGTAAAGAAGAAGTTAAAAGAATGTACAGCTACCACTTAGATTCTCCGGTGTCAGATATTAACTTGTGTTGTAATCTTGGAACTTCAGATTTCAGGTGATTTTTTTAATAAATAAAAGTGATTGTAAGACAATTCTTAGACAGGTAGAAATTGTTGTTCACATACTTACATGAGTTCTGGAATCCCAGGGCCACTTATAACTGTATATAATATTTTGCAAATAGGCTTCCAATTTGTTTTATCTCAAATACGTAGAAATAAAAGATATTGGTAGTTCAGATAACAGAATCCAGAAACTGAGGAATCTCATTCTGACAGATTTTGGTTGAGAAGCGACCACCAAAGTTTTTTTATGGTGTGAAAATACAATAATGACGATGGGTGTCCTAGAATGAAGTGTTTTAACTCAACAAACACATTTTTGCAGTTTTCAAATCATAAAAAAAATAATTTTGATGAGATAGTTATAATTTTTTTCTTTCAATTAATAGAAAATAGCAGATGGGTCATGTATGATAAAGAATAGCCATAAATTGGTGTAAGGTTGGGGGTGGAATCCCACAAAGTTCATTGCTACAAGTCAGTAAAAACTATTCCTGTCCTGTGTCATTTAAATTAGACTAATGTTTAGTGGTTTGAACATTCGTAGGCCTGGCATGACTAAGTGGTTTGGGCTCTCGACTCGCAATCTGTGGGTCGCTGGTTCGATAACCCGTCCCACCAAACATGCTCATCTTTTCAGCCGTGGGGACATTATAATGTGACGGTCAATCCCACTATTCATTGATAAAATAGTAGCCCTCAAGTTGGTGGTGGGTGGTGATGATTAGTTGCCTTCCCTTTAGTCTTACACTGCTAAATTGGGGATGATAGCACAGATAGCCAACAAACAAACAAATTGAACATTCGTTTATACATCACACGTTCCTGACTTCAGTACGCAAAGAAGAGGTAAAAATTACATAACTGGCTCTATCAAATATGAAACTTGGTATTGTATTAATAATTTAAGAAATTTAGTATTGTATTAATAATTTAAGAAATTTAGTATTGTATTAATAATTTAAGAAATTTAGTATTGTATTAATAATTTTTAAATAGTCTAACTTTATAATCATAATTCTCTTAGAGCCATTGTTTACGTTTTTAATGTTTGGAATATCAAGAATTGATTGGAAACACTCATGTTTAAAGCTGGATAAATCTTTGTGGCATATTACAGGCCTTCTCTCAGCATGATATTGGCCTGTAATCCCTATATTTTGGCCTGAAGTAGCTAATTTTCCCTGTTATCGATAACTTTCTCCTATATTCTTACCAGATATTTTTAATCATAATAATAATACTATAGTTTGGATACTTATTCATATGGAAATACTACTTATGATAGTAAATTTCACACTGAGTAATAGTTACTTTTTAGAACAAAATGTGTTTTTTTTTGTAGGCTTGTTATCTTTGTTAGAACATTAAATGTATTTAAGCTTACATTTCAAAGTGATGGGTATGAAGTCTGTAAATGCTGGCAGAAGTGAAGAAAACGTATTGGCTTATCACAGGATAACAGTTTATTTGAGACCTAAATGAAAGGTGAATGTAGTCACTTAAGACTAAGGTAAATTCTTAACGAAAGAGTAAACTCGTGTTGATTTAAGTCTAATGTGTGTGTGAAAGATTAAAGTTAGATTCAGTTTGAGTAAGAAACTACTTAAATCCATGGTTTCAATTTGAAACAAGTCTGGTAAAAAAAAAAAATTTATAACTGGAACAGTTTTGAAAATCACTTCAAGGCCTCAATTATGAATTTGACACTGTCCAAAAAGTTAACTAACAATACTTCAAACTATATCCCCACAATGTCACAAAATAATAGAAGTCTCAAATAATGAAATAAAAAATATCAATATCTTTTTGTTTGTTTTAACTGTTTATTATACAATTTGCACTTTCCATAACATTGTCAGTGAGGGACACTTTTGTGTGCTCGTTTGATTGATCACCTGGTGAGGAGTCATGACTGTTGTAATGCATAATACCTGTATGTCTTTAGCATGTGTACTTGTATTATACTATTATACATTTCATTACTATTTCTATTATTTATTAAGGGTAAGAATAGATTATATCAATTAAATGTTACTAGGGAGTCTGAAATTAAACTAGCTAGCCTTTATTAAATGTTACTAGGGAGTCTGAAATTAAACTAGCTAGCCTTTATTAAAATTGAAGGCTTTTTTCAATTAGGACAAGTTTAATATCATTTCAAGTGTAAGTTAGATTCATAGACATGTATTTTATAAATCCTGTATATGTTTGGGTAGATACAGTTTATCACCAGTGAATTACATGCTACATCATAGGAAGTCTGTATTTCAAGACTCTTGGTTGGACAAGGGGGACATTATTGGTTAAAGCTGGGCAGTTAATGGAATTTTGTTATCAGTTAATTGTTGGGCTCATTTATTGATTACATTAAACTAATTGATTGTTGTCATGAGATGGCTGAAAAGGAAAAAAAATAAATTAATGAATTAACATATAGCACTACAAATCAGGGTTCAATACCCACCATGAGCGAGCATAAATGCCCAAATTTTCAACAACAAACAAACGTAATTTCTATATTTCAATTAATTGATTATTTCCTTTCATCCCTTGCATCATTTGTGTCCTTTGCAATGTGTTCAGAGTTGACTAAGATCATAGGTTATTCAACTCTATACACGTCTGTCATTGTTCTGCTAGCACTTTTAAACTGTTCCTATGAGAATAGGAAAAAGAGTTACCATTTGAAAACTCAACTGAGTAAGGTACCGATACTCAAACATTATTATTTTCTGTTTATTGCCTTTTCTAGATGATGTGCCCTTTACCTGGCCTATTTTTTAGACAATTATCCTGTATTATCCCTATATTTTTGAATAGGTTCATTTATTTGTAACCCTATTTTTTTACCTGATTGGAAATCTGTAATATTATTATGTAAGATGCTACATAACTAAATGAAGAATTTGGGGGCAAATTTAATTGAATTGTAGGATTCCTCAGTGATTTGATATAGTTACATTTTATCAGTTAATGTATAGAAGTGGAGTATTTCATCTGCTCAACTTAATAATTAAATTAATCATAGTTCATGGTCAGATTATTTATATTGTGTTAACAGTTGTGGAGTGTAGTTCTGTGACTACTGGACTTATATATTAGCTGTTGTTTTGTTGTTATCTTTTATAGTTTCAATGACCATTTTGGAACAGCAGTTTCATTAGAATCTTCATGTGAACTTGCCTCACCCAACGTGCCCGACGAGTTATTTAGCCCAGGAATCAATCTAACTGAGGGTATGTTTTAAGTATTTTTAGTCTTGTTGAACTTAAGAAGTGATAAGATATACATATTTTTGTGTATGCACCTGTTAACCCATCTTCTCTCTGTTTTACTATTAATAATACCAATACTCTAGAATTATAAACATAATTACTGCCTTAACCTATTCGAGATAGGTCACAGGTGAAAGGCATTTCATCTCATTTGTTGACTCGCATTCAAAATTGACCATATTGAAAGAGTTAAACTGTTGCATTGAGACACAATTTGCATAATTATAAATAGTTTGACTGAGATTTCAGACTGATTTGCTGCTTAGGCCAGTTAAGACTAAATACATAAGTATTTCTGTTGATAAAAAAGCTGAAGTTTTAAAGAAATTTTTAGCACTTTTAAATGAAAACTTTAGTATAAATTGTGTTTTTTCTTTTCAGTCTTTCGAGAAAATCTGATTAGGCATCCACATATGAAATGGCAGTATTTTATATCGGCAGCTGGGATTCACAGCGAGTACCCCGCACATATACAGGATCACACAAGTTTCAGTGGTCTAGGAAAAGACAGCAGGCACAGGTAGGTGTTGTAATAGATATAATCAAAGATTTGATATACTGATAAAAATTTATACAAGTTTTTGCAAAACTGAACAAGAACTATAGTACTTGTAAAGTGTAAAATTTTACTTTCATGAACATTGCTAACAGAAATGGAATGTTCCAACTTGGTCGGGTACAGTAATTAGTCCCTGACCATCCAATTTTATTGCATGTCATCATGAACTAAGTAGAGAGTTTTCTTCTTGGAAACTGGAGTCCTCTTAGCTCAATTGATAAACATTTGTCTCAAAATACCAGTGTGAATGGGGGTTCAAGTCCTGGTACATACATGTAGGAAAGTAGTGATATAGGAATACGTATTAAAACTTATACTGTAACACACACACAGAACATTATACCAGAGTAATTTAATTTTCTAAAAGAGGTGGAAAGGAATCTGCCCTAATTTAAAAGAATAAGTTTTTCTTTGACAAAAGGTTTTAACATACCCTGAGGAATTTTATTGTGTGTTTTAAGTAGTCAAACACTGGAACTGGTAAGAACAATGACTTGTTATAGTTGTGATTGTTCTGTTCTAGGGATGTGTATTTAGCAACAATACAGCCTCGTAGCAAACACGTGATGATTATCATAGATCATGGAAATTCCCTCAGTTCTAACCAGTTAGCAACGGCCAAAGCTGTTGGAAAACACATACTTTTCACTCTATCTCACAAAGACAAGGTAAGGTATAGTGTGAATGGTATAAATCGTAGTTAATTTGAATAACTTATTAATGTTTTGAAATGCTTGTCTGTGATTATGAAATTGTTATGATAATATGTAGAAATTCAAAATCATACTGATGTGGTGGATAGTTTGGTACTTTGAAATTTAGATTTTTCGTAAAATTGGATTTTAATGTGTAAAAAACAAGAACATTTTGTCTTATCTTTGGGAAGATGGTGGTGTAAGAAGACTGAAACATGTAAGATGGTCTCTGTTTCTAATAAGTTATTGTGTAATTATTTTAGAGTTGTACTCCTTTTAATTATATACACATGATGCACAAGTGCCATTTTAAATTATTTACATTTTGTCTTTTTTAATTATTTATCAGTTACTTTTCAAGCAAAAATCAGTTCACTCACAATTTGTTCTGGAAGTAATAAGACTGTATACTAAGTATACTGAGTAATTTATTAATGTTTTGACAAGCTGTTAGTACGTTTCAATTATTTTACTCGTCTCATCTGACTGATAAATGCTTATCAATTATATATATATATACATACATGCTCATAGTGATTGAAAATCTTTATCTTAGGTTGGTTTAATTGGACTTTCTGGAGAACCACAACACCCTCAAAGTGATAGTTGTTTATCCCACCAGATGGCATATGCTACGTACGAGACAAAGTTTCATTTTAGTAGGTTTATTGATGGATTACAAAAAACAAAAGGTTTGCATCATCATTCATAAAACTTTTTGAGATACCTGCCTTCTCCTTAAAATTACTTATGTTTGGCTGTCATTAGTTACTTTTATTTTTAATCTTAAGCTTTTTTATGTAGTAAATGCTCATTAATTTTTCGAGTTTGTTTTTAAGTATTCAAAAGAAATTTTTGCTATAATATTTTCTGAAATTAAATTTTCCTCTTTAAATAGAATTGTGCAGGAAGTTGTATGTAATGGTAGTAGGAGTACTTGTTTGAGAAAATGTAATAAAATGTCTGTAATATATTTTCTTATTCTGCGTATACTTAGAAGGAAAACAATCTATAAAAACATTCTTTACTTTTCTGTCACTTTTACAGAATAAATACCTAAATGCATATTAAAAGTTTTATGCAGGTTGGTAGGACACTAACCAATCTAATACAAGAATAAACATATTTTGGAGTGTATTCTAATAATGGTAGGCCTATGTTAAATTGAATAGGATAAAAATTGTGATTTGAAAAACTAATATTACATTTGTTTTTTGTTTTTTTTGTCTAAACTTGGCCACTTGTCATTACTATTTGTCTTTAGATTTTTGTGAATTAGTCGTTTGAACTGTTTCATTGCTTATATGGAACTTTTCAGCCATACCACATACTCCATGTTGCTTGTTCAAACGTTTTCTATGTAATAGTGAGAATGGAAGGATTAGGGGACACAATTGTAAATTTTGGCAGGGTAGCAGTTACCTTCAGCTAAGACAGCTTTAATTTTCTAAAACAGATATGTTGACCTTTGGGATGAGTTGCCTTTAGATGTGGTCTATACAGTTACTTTAAGGGTTAGCAAACAGTTGAATAGTAGGGCTAGTTTTGATATTTTATTTTAGAGTTTAGATTAGTGAATGAGATGGCTTAAATGGATCAGGAGGTCCTGTGTTGTCTCTAAATTATATGTGATGTAAATTGATCCATACAGCTGCATAAAAAGAGTACTCACATGAAAAATTAAAGCCTTAGTATTATTCGTCCTTTAAGGTCCCCCGATGGGACAGTAGTAAGTCTACAGACACAGCAGTTAGCCAAATGTGGCTTTGTTCTAAAATAAACTGTACTTTAAGAAACATAGTGTGGAAGTAAATGCAAATATAATAAGGATGTTGTTTTTGCTGTTTTTAGACTCCACCAACCATCTTGTGGGATTTGTCAAAGCCTTCCAACTACTTAGGAACTCACTTCCTCCTATTGGAACAGAGAAGAATGGTAAAGGTTTCTTTGATTTCTCACACGTAATTAATTTATTTAATTCAATACAAGGGCAAGCTTTCTCTTGTCCAAGTAACATGTTTTCTTGGTCGTGTAACTAACTGGACATTGTCAAACATGTGAAACTTGCACAATGCAGTTTTAATGGTGAAAGGATTATAAATATATAAATGTTTGAAGCATTTTTTGTATTATTTGTAAAATAATTATTCATTACTTATTGTAATAAACCAATGATGTAGCATTTCACATGTTGTACTAACCGATGTAATACTGCTTGTGCATTAATTTCTCCTTTTTTATCTATGTTTTATCTCTCTGTTGATCAAACATTTTAAGAAAGGATTAATTTACTTGTTTAGAGCTCTACAATCCATAACTTCAAATTATTTTATAATATTTTATGAATAATGTGTGTGAAAAATTATAATCTTTATCAGTTAACCAGTAGAAACTTCCATTCACAGTAGTTAGTTGAGAGTTCTGTTTTACCACATGTCTGTATGTAAAAATAGATCAACTTATGTCAAATGTGAAAGAAGTTCATTTTAATTATTAGCCTGAACATCCTAATTATGAATGAGGGATTTTGATTCTGGTCATACCTCCTATTCAATGTTCCCTCAAATGTTTTCACTCAATCTGCAGAATGAGTTTTCTTCATGTGAACCAGTATCAAGGCAGTGTGCGATTATGTGCTACGAGGTTTTTTTTGGGGGGGGGGGGTATTTCCAGACCATTGACTGTATTGGATCATTAGGCTGCTTTGCAATGCTACCAGTTGGTTATATAGGCTTTAGGCCTATTGACTGCCATGGTCATTAAGGCTATCAACGTGTTGAGACTCTCAGTGTGTACCGCTGGAATAATGAAGTGCGCGGCACTTGATTGGATGTTGTGCAGCTCAGAGGGAACACTGCTCGTATTTAACATTTACTGTAATGTAGTTATCTTTCATTAAGGTTACTAAGTTGCTTTTGTGATAGCATCTCTTGCAAACAAGACGATAGTTTTGCTGTAGCATATCGCAGAGTAGAATTTGGTATCATGATGTGGCAGGAATATTTGCTGAAAATTGACATTAATTCCTTTTCTGAGTTGGAACTGGCATTTGTAAACTTCCTACAGACATAAATAATTTAGTATATAATTTTGTTTTTTCAGATTCAGAAGCACTGATCATTTATATTAGTAGAGGACTGTTGACGTCATTGGCTGAAGCCCGTCCAGTTCTGGAAACAATTGCCAATGAGAATCATAAAATTGGTAATAGAGTTGTTATCAACACTTATGCTGTTATTGATGGTAAGTAGCTATTTTGTTCTGTTGTGGCTTATCCTTTTGTAAAATAAGTTATACCAAATATGTCTTTTTTTTTCAGATTCTTTCCAATGACAACCACATGGTGGCATTATTCATTAGAAATGATGTTTGAAATATAAACAAAATCAGGTTTTAAATGATAATATTTCATTTCTTCTTTTTTAACTTAACTTTTTCTTTTCAGCTTTTATTTATGTAAACAAAGCTGTTCAAGTAGATAGTGAAAAATTAATAGTAGCTGGGTGTGATAAGTTGCTTTAAAATTATATGAGGCAGAAACATTTGCTTTGATCTTAATTTTCACTTTTGTATATACATACAAATATATAAAGATACTACTTGCGACTGAAAATCTGCCACCATTCCTAGTGTGTGTGTTTTTTTATCTAGTTATTAGCTACGTTTGTATTTTGGAAGTTCTAATCATAAATGGTTCTAAGGCTTGTTATTTTGTTTAAATTTAGATGGAAAGCCTATTATGTATGAAAAAACTTTTCTCCAAGATATTGCTAAACAGAATTTCAGTAAATACAATGTCCTTCCTCCAGATCCTTCTGACATTAAGGTGAGTTGATTGTAAATTTTCTTGTATCTGATTATCATATTTTTTAAAGAAAAATTATTCTGTCAAAAGAATCATTGAAAGTTGCTTGATCAAAAGCCTGGCAAATTTCTACACCTCACAAGGTCACTTTAGGCTTAACAACTTCTTGAATTTCTGAGGTCATTAGACATTGTTGACCAGTGTTCCTGACAGAAAAGTACACATGAATGTGTTAAAACTAGTCTCTTTAGTATCAAGACTTCTGACTGATTGTTCTGTAACTGCTACAAATGATATTATGGTATTTTTTGAGCATTTTGAATTATTCTAATTTACATGTAAAATTCACATTTCTTTTTGGACAGCTTAATAGTGATTTTAGGTTTTTTGCTTATTAATTCTCAGGTTTGCATATCATCTTTGAAATTCAGTTTTGTCAAATTTGTTCCTATATTGTAATTAAAATTACTGGTATAAAAAATTTAACCCTGTTTTATATAGCAAGGAATGATGGTTGCTGTCAACTCCACAGACAATCTCTGTTTTCTGGTTGGAGATTTTTATTCTGTTGTTTCGTCACCAGTCCATTCTGACAAACATTTTTCCCTACCTTGGTGGGATCCTGTCAGCAAAGGTAATCATGTTTCTTTATATTGGGAGTTATCTTTTATATTTTGTGGTTAAAGTGTTGCCATCGAAAAAAATATCATAGTTTATACTTATAAAATATACTGTTACGTCTCTGGTGGTTAGTTAATTTCCGTTTAATTTCTTTCCGATGAAACTAGCGACACGAGTCCTTTCTTAAATAAAACTAGTTTATTCTTTCTCAATAGAACTTTGCAATACACTTAATTTCCATGGTCACACTATAACTTAAACAAATGCTATAATTCACAACAAACGACTCATGCGCTTGACCCAACTATCTGTCTCTATCTCTGTCTGCAATTCAACTCCATTGTTGCCATTACTTCTTGGCGGTCTTATATACAAGAATACCGTACATCTAGTAAACACTCGGCTTCAAGAAAGGACGTGATTTTTCTAGAAGCTTGTGACGTGTTACTAGCATCACGTGACTTCCGCTGTCGTAACAATACATTAGTGTGCACTGAAATTTGATGCTAGCTATTTTCTTTGAAGTTATTTGTACATGGTGGTAATTTTGAAACAGTATCTTAGGCTTAAATTTCTACTGTGCTAAATCTCTAGATTTTGTGCTTATGTTATTATTATGTGATACTGATTTTATACTTTTGGTTTTATAAGGAGTAGTTATTAGCATCAGCCAGCCAGTGTATTATGAAAATAGGTTGTTGGGAGTTATAGGAATTGACATCACTTTAGATGACTTAGCTGAAGACGTGACCTACTTTAGGCACTCTGAGAAGAGTTATGCATTTTTTGTAGATGAATCAGGTAAGTAAAGATTTTCACTTTATATATGCAAAACTCTTTATAATTCATGAAGATAATTTTTACTGCTAATTAAAATGAATGCATGCAGGAGCACTTTTCTCTCTAGTTTACATTTGAAGTAAGATGTTTTTGGTTTATTTTATTTCATTTTAGAGTATAAAAACGATTATTTTCATCATCTCTAAATGTGTGTAAGGTTTCAAATATTCTCGCAATATTCTTTAATATAATAAGTTGTTATTTTGCTTTAAGAATTACTTGTACTGAAAGACATCAAATCTTACTGGAAGTAGCCTTCAGGTGAAAGTCGTGGATCACCATGTTTATTATTGTTTGATGATCCAATTTTATTGGATAAGTTATCACCTCCCATTGAAAATAACAAAGTTAAAATTGTAACCACAGATATGTAGTGTGAATGATAAATAATGTGTATTGTATTACCACATGTATAAATTCACCTTTTTATCATTGCAGAACCTTCTCCTGTGTATGAAAGTAATATTTAAAGTAAAATAATTCCCAAAGTGCAAATCTCTTGCACACTATGTGTGCTAGATTTCATTTAAAGGAAAAAGATTTGTTATACACTTGTTTCATAATTGATTAAATCTGTACACACCTGGATACTGTGGACATTACTAGCAGTAGATTAAATGTATACTTATAAATAAAAACTAGCTACATGTCTTAAAGGTAATCCTTTGTCATTCTATCTCAGGTATGACCTTGATGCATCCGTCTTTCCCTAGGCCAATGTTTATGGAGGAACAGCCTTTGCATACTGATATACAACATTTGGAAAATCAACCAGGTTTTCAACGAATTAGGAGAGACATTTTGAGGTTTTGCTTTTTATTTTTTAGCTTTGTTATAATCGTAGTATTATATAGATACAGTTTGTGAAAAAGTATGATCTTTCACAATTTATGTGTATGTGTGTAAGTTGTTGATAACCAAGTTATGGAGTATCTATAAAACTCTGTTTTCCAACATTGTGTGTGTTTGTAAGTGTTTTGATCTCTTAAAACTTTGTTAAAAAGCTACTAGCAATATTAAACAATAGGTTTCAAAGCTAAGCAGAAAAGGTTAGAACAGTTAGGAATTGTGAGAGATTTTATTTTATTTTGTAAATAGTAAACAGCCTGCAATGTTATTTTCTAGAAATGATAGTGGGGAAAATATTCTAACAACAAAAGTGCCATGTAAGCCACCCAAAACAGCAAACTTTGCTTTGAATAATGCAGATGTAAGGTGTTTTGACACCGATGGAAAAATATACCAAATACTATACAACTGGAAGAAGGTAGGTTTTTAAAGTAACTTATTTATTTGATGTGTTAATAGAGTACTAAAAAATACCCAATATGTATCAATGTGCTGGCTTGGTTGTAAGGGTGCTCGACTCAGAGTGTGCGGGTTGTATGTTTGAATCCCACCACTGAACCTGATCACTGTTTCAGCCAAGGGGGCATTATAATATGATGTTCAATCTCACCATTCGTAAGATTTATAAAAGTTTTAATGGTAGAAATGTTGAATGTTAAATTTGAAAAAAATATTAATTTCAGTGTTGCTATGATTATTGTTATTATTGTATGTTAATAACAATTATTTATTATTAATTTCAAAACTCCATGTCAGCTTCTACTTTACCATCATCTAGATTTTTTTTTACCAATTCTTTTCAAACATATTATGACGGAGTTTTCATTTGCAGGTTCCTGGAGCACCATACATTGTGTGTTTAGTGTTGGTTGAGACCATGAAAATGTTCCAGAGATTGAAGAAAAGCCTAGCTCCAACTGAACCTGCTTTTATTTACCACAGGCTTGACCTTATAGCAGCCCCGCACATGTGTCGACACATGAAACAGCTCTCAACACTTGGTACACATCTTTTTCACAAATAGAATAAAAAAACTGCTTTTAATATTTTTTGAAATATAAATGGCCATTGTAGTTTATGTGTGTTTTCTCTGTTTTCATTTTGCAAATACAGATATTCAGTGTAAAATAAAGACTTTTGGTTTAGTTGTTATTTTTTTCGAACTTGTAATTTTTTTTCTTAGCATCTAGTGTTGTTGATTTACTATTGTTATGGTAGTTACTCGATACTTACCATTGTAAACGTATTGGTTCATATTTTTTTAGTTAAAATATATTTGTTCAGTGCTTCATCTGTTAAAGTTATTCATTGTTTTCTCAACCAAACTTTGCGAAACTATTACTATCTTCAAGTATATTTTCTTTTTCTCTGTTTGGAGCTATTTCTAAAAGTAAGTGATCAAACGAGTATCACTGATAACACAGGACTGCGAATTTAAACTTTATAAAAGTTGCTTTGGTTTTAATAATGGATTTTTACATAATTCGGCTATGCAGATTTTGAAAATAATGTTTATTTTTTCTATCATGTAAGGATTTTTTACAAATCAGGAAAAAAAAAACTTACTTAGATCAAATTATTATTTTGTTTACCACAAATAACGTGTTATTATTATGTTTGTTAACAAAAAGAAAAACAAATTGAAAAAAAGGGAAAAACATTGATGTCAAACAAATATACATCCTCATTCATCCTAATTTTTTTGTGAAATCTACATCTTTTAGTTTCAAAACTATGTGTTGCGGTTGTTCTTTTATGTGTTGCATTATGACGTTTTGTGAAAAATCTGTATGCGATGGAGAAAAATGAATATCACTTTCAGATTCAGCATACAGGAATTACAGTAGAATTTATAAACATTTCATTACAATAAAACCATCGCAAACCTGTGTAATCAAAGTTTCAGATGTAACAGTATTTGTATATTTTTGCTACTAGGAGATCTTAGGTAAAAGTATCTCTTTGAAAACAGTTAAAATATTTTGAGAATGTGTAGTTGTAATTCATGTTAATTGTTTTTTACCACACTAAACAGTAAGCCTTTCATCTTGAACTTTAAAGACCATACTGATTATGCCATAGTGAAATCTGCAATAAACTTATCATTATTCTAAAAAACAATTTGTTTAGAGTCTGTATTATGTAGGTTAGCTTAACTTAGGTAAAAATATGATGACAAATATTTGTTTTTTTTCTTTGTTTAGAATCAAGTACACTCTTTCTGTCTGCATCTAGTTTTCTGTCTCCTTTTGAATATCTGTCTAGTAACGAAACAAAGAACAAAGTGCAGGGTTATGTGGCTTACCTTAATGATAAAACAAAGTTAATTGCCAATCCAGGTCTAAAGGTGAGTTAAATGAAGTTCTTGGCATTTGAATTAAATAGTTAAAGTTTTAAGTAAAATTATAAAAAATAATATATATATATTAAATAAAGTAACAAAGTATAAATTCAAGCAACTTAAAAGTTGCCCAATTTCAACAGACTAATGATATCACAGTGTCATTATTTGTGAATTGCAATAGTTCAAGTTATGTTGAAAGCTATGCAGAAAGGTGGTTAAGAATAAAAACTGGTTAAATAATTATTATGGAGACTTAATTGATGGATTCTGTGTCTTTCTTATCAGAAATGTTTAGTTGATTAGTATTTTATTGTACCTGCCAACTTTTCTGATTTCGTCGGAATCTCCCAATATTTCACCCTCATTCCTGATTTCTTGATAAATGTTGAGATATTTCTTGGAGTTATCTCTTTAACTTTAACAAAATGCTTAATTTTGCACACTGTAGTTTCAAATTTTGTGTGTGCGTGTGGGGGGGGGGGTATCAACCTGGACCTCCCAGCTGAAGGACAATTCCTCACATTATCTCCCAGGGCCATGGTTCACTTGCTCATTTCCTTATTTAGAACGAGACAGAGTTAATAGATGTTTCTGATATGGTTTTACCTCACTCACACAATTCAGGGTTCGTCTCCACAATACCTAAATCATCAATATTTATTTATAGCTAGAAGTCTAGTGTCCAGTTTAGGACCCTATCATTTAGACTAACCTCAGCCCCTTATGTGTTTTGCTGGGTGGTAAGAACTTTTGCCCAAAATCTTCACTCAGTGGTTGTTCAAACTCATTACATGGAGGAGTGGCTTCTGCTCATTTCTTCTTCTTACCCCCACTCAGTTCATTTGTGGGCTTTCTTTAATTCCATCCTCAGTCAGGCCCATCCTTCTTCTATTCATCTTTGGGATATGGAGCAAGCAGTTCACAAGGCCCTCACCTCACATACTCTCACAGATCGAGATGTACTATCTGTTTTGGGGATGTGGGTTTCCTTGGAAGCTCTTATTCCCATTGGTCGAGCTCATATGCATTACTGTCAGTGGAACCTCCTCAATCAATGGATCCCTTGGGTCACCCTCTTACTCTTCCTTCCACTTGGTGACTAGACAGGGACCAGACCACTATGGGAGTTCTGCTTCCTACACCAAAATCAGATTTATATCTGTTCATGGATGCATCTTTAGTGGGTTGGGGTGCTTATTTTGACACTTGAGAGATTTCCGGTCTCTGGTTGGTTGAGGAGTCTTTTCTCCATATTAACATTCTTGAAT